ATTCTGATTGACATAATATCCATTGCATTTAGGAAGTCTCCACTCCTGTTTCAGCTTCAAGCATATAAAACTAGGCAGAGAGAGAGAGAGAGAGAGATTTTATCCTTTGGGCCAACTCCTCTTTCATGCTAAATAAAATATTGGTCCATCAGCAAGAAGACAATTTTCTCTGACAGCCATTTGCTTTCAGAAATGGCTGCAGATAAAAAGAGCAAACTCTTTGTGATCTTTTCTCACACGTAGATTTCCTCCTCCAGTTTGATCCTCTTAAGGGACTTCTTTTCGCTGTCAATAAAAGAGATTGGAAGGGAGTTGATGGCATAGAATGGGGGCTTTGATGGCGTTTATCTGTTTATGTATTTATGTATGCATTTATTTAGGGCTTGGGAGGAAAAACGACTCGGTTGCAAACAGTATTTCAGTGGGAAGTCAACGCATGCAAAGGGGAGGGTGGAACAAAATGCAGGGGGGAAGAGAGAGAGAGAGAGAATGCAGTTGCTGGAGGCTGCTTTTCCATCTTCCTGGATTCTAGTGGCATCTGGGAATCATTTGCTAGGAGAAACCTTGGGATGACCTCTCAGTGCCAAGGGACACAGCGGTGAAGAGACCTTGGCAAAGCGAAGGAGGAACAGGGTACAATGGTTCCCAACCTTGGCAGCTTTAAGTTGCGTGGATTTCAACTCCCAGCTGGCTGGGGAATTCTGGGAGTTGGAAGTCCACACATCTTTAAAACTGATAACGTTTTAAGCCCAACAGCATCAAGATCAGCTGAGAGCCTTTCCAGGGTAGACTTTGGAGACAATCCAGATGACCAGATTTTCGCAACACTTTGCATCACAAAAGAACAAATGGATTGTCGCCATGCGTTAGGCTTAACCAAGCATAAATCTAACCAAGCTTTAGGGCGTGATCTGAATTAACTCACAGAGGTGGTTTAGTCTCCAACCTTTGGGGCACCAGGGACCGTTTCCCGTGGAGAGAGGTTTTTGCGTGGACCGGAGGAAACGTGGTTTCACTCTTGCTGCCTGCATCCCACGGATGGGGGTTGGCTTTCTTTGCGTGGCATTTCTGATCCCCCCTAGTTTAGTCAACCTGGCTAAGTCGGTTGTGTGAATATAGTCAGAGCACACTAACATGAATTTAAAGGAGGTTGCAGGGAGGAGATTACATGGCTCAGAATCTGGAGGAATTTAGGAAACCCCTCCTGCCCAGTTCCTGATCCTAGGACAGTGATGGCAAACCTTTTTGGCACTGAGTGCCCAAACCGGAACGTGTGTGCATGTTGCGTGCATGTGTATGTGCTGGAGAGCCGTAAACCTGAAGACAAGTTGGCGGGTGCCCGCATGCCTGTTTTGTGGCTGGGTTTTTTTGCTGTTTAGAGGCTGTTTTTCAGACCATTTTCAGGTTGTTTTTCAGGCCATTTTCAGACCGTTTTCTGGGCCGTTTTTCAGATTGTTTCTCAGGCTGTTTTTTTGGCTGTTTTCAGGTCATTTTTGGGCCATTTCTGGCCATTTTCCGGCTGTTTTTCAGACTGTTTTCTGGGCCATTTTTCAGGTTGTTTCTCAGGCTGTTTTTTGGGCTGTTTTCAGGTCATTTTGGGGCCATTTCCAGCCATTTTCCAGGCCATTTTCAGGCTGTTTTTTGAGCCATTTTCAGGCCATTTTCTGGACCATTTTCCGGATGTTTTTCAGGCCATTTTTCAGCATTCTGGCACCCACAAAGACCAGCTGGTGACAGCACGTGTACCCACAGAAAGGTCTCTGCGTGCCACAGGTTTGCCATCATGGTCCTAGGATATACACAAAACTGCAATCTAGGTGCCTTTGAGAGAACATGTCAAGCAGGCCTCATTTCAGTCACAAATCGGTCCCTCTGGACCAGTGGAGCAGCCAACAGATGGAAGCTTGGAAAACAAAAGGCCTTAACAAAGAACCCAAAAATAACTTCCAGGGGAAAACAATAGCTTCTTTGCACAGCCTTTCTGGAATTCCTGGCTTGGTCCATCCTCATGGTTGCCAGCAGGCTGCCTCTCTGTGCCTTTAAAAGGAGGAGGGTTGCTTTTTATTAGCCGTTGTGAGGGGTTCGTAAATTCCTCCTGGATGCCTGACTTACTTTCTGCTCCATTTCAGGGTTAGACATCCTTGGAATTAGCAAAACACGCCCCCTGTTTTCGGGTCTCGGTCTTTGGGTATGGCATATGAGTTGGCACCAATTGATCTGAGTGTGCTACTCCGAGGATAGAAAGAAGTGAAGAAGCCAAAGAGAAGGGGAAGAAAACCTCAAAACACACCCAGAAACAACTCTTTAGAATGTACAGAATTACAGAAAAGCAGAGTTGTAAGGGACCTTGGAGGTCTTCTCGTCCAACCCCTTGCTCAAACAGGAGACCATATACTCCTTCACATTACACCATTCCAGAGAAATGGGTGTCCAATCTCTTCTTGAAAACCTCCAGTGTCAGAGCACCCACCACTTCTGGAGGCACCTTGTTCCACTGATCAATTGTTCTCACCATCAGAAAATTTCTCCTTAGTTCTGTTGTGGTTCACCAGCAGCCTGTGCAGATGGCAGCGGAAGAACGGGACCAGTCAGGGACTCTGGAGAGGACTTGGTCCTGTGTCCGATGCAGAGATGGGGCCAGGACCATCTGGGAGTGAGACTGGCAGCAGCGAGGCAGAGGACCCAGGGGAGCCTGTTCCCAGTGCGTGTGTGCACAGAGCTGCTAGAAGACGAGAACAGCTGAAACAAAAGGGGCAACTCAGGAGTAAGGCTGGGAGGTGATTGCCCCTCCCATAAGGTATAAAGGACAGGCCAAGATGACGAAACCTTTGCAGGAAGCGAAGTTGTTTGTTCGGTTCAGATTCATTCTTGAAGCTCTTTGTACTTCGGTTGGTTTTCTGTCTACTTCATTTGACACTTCTGTTATTGGCAGCACTTCACAGGAAAGAAAGGTGGGTGTTTATCTCGAGGGACTGTTTGAGATTCATTACCCACTGGGAATAAAAATAATTCCCAGCGTTGCAATAAAACAAGGCTTGTTTTTAAAACAAGCGTGTGCGTAATTACGGTCTCGGAAGCCTTGGTCAGAACAAGTTCTAGATTGCTTCTCTCCTTGATTGGTTTCCACCTGCCACTTCTTGTCCTGCCCTCAGGTGTTTTGGAGAATAGCTCGAACCCCTCTTCTTTCTTACAACCTCCCCAATACCCTGGTATTCAGCTGCTTTGAAACTCATCAGATTTCGTACTCAATGCATTGTGATGCAAACATTTTGTCCAGGTACTTGTCGTTTGTTTGGTACTCAATGCACAAGCTAGAACTTGTCGATGTCAGCTGCTTTGCGACTCACAACATTGTTCTTTATGGGGACAATTGGTTTGGTATACAACACGCCTTCCAGAACCAATTCACAAGGAGTCCAAGGTACCACTCTATTAGAAGCCTGCTATCGTGTCTTAATTTATTATGTCATCATTTAATATGGCAACCAGCATCTCCAAACGAAAGCCTGGCCCAGCGGATGTCCTCTTCTGGTTTAGAGGTCCTGTTGATCAGCCTCTTCTGCTCCAAAGCCCTTGTGCTGGCTTTTCTGCTTGTTTGCAACACTGAAAACCCGATGCAGCTGTTCTTCCTGGAATGGCTTGGAGATCTCTGAGCCGAGCCAGAAAAGTGGAGCTGTGGGGAAAAAACACCCCCTTCCCAGGAATTAAGGAGAAACTTCCTAACAGTGAAGACAATTAAGCAGTGGAACAGCTTGCCTTCAGAAGTTGTGGGTGCTCCATCACTGGAGGCTTTGAAGAAGAGACTGGATAACCATTTGTCTGGAATGGTATAGGTTGCTTGAACAGGGGGCTGGACTAGAAGATCTCCAAGGTCCCTTCCAGCTCTATCCTGATTGTTTCAAATGCCTCCGTGAGTTATTGGGAAGTGTTGCCTATTAGTAGAAGAGTTGCAAATTAAGCTTTTGTGCTTTCATCAAGTACTTTCCACTTCCACTTTCAATTTTAAGGCTAGAAACCTATTTTTGTATGGTTCCACTGAACTATGCACATTATTGAGTGTCAGGTAGCATGTACGTTTAGTACATTATTATTATCATAGCAATATTCCCATTCTGCATCTATTCCCTGGTGCAATCACAGCGTATAGCGCTGGCAAGAATACATCCTGAAGTAGAATATTAGTTCCACTTGCTCAGCGTGCTTCCTCTTAGTTTCTAGTGCCCAAGTGAATGGCTCTAAAAGCCACTGTTTGCAAAAGTCTGCCTGCTCTGCACAAGCACAGAGGTTTCTTCTGTTCAAATAGGATCTCTAAAGGGCCCTTCAATCGCTGTTGCTCTCTAGGGCCATGCAGAAAACAAGCGAAAGAGCAGGAAAAACAAGGGAAATATTGGCATATCAAAACTGAAACATGCATATTCATGACAGGGTTCCTTCCCAGAATGGCAAGGCAATTTTCTCTCCTGCTTCTAGGAAGAGAAAAACCAAAGGAAGAAGTGGAAAATTGGAAACGTAATTCCACAGTGGTGGTTAACAGTTGAGACATCAACAGTCTTGAAGAACAGCAAAATATTGGGAGGGGGCTTCTCGATTCAATTTTGAAGAAATGGATCATTTTCCCCCTCTTCCTCTTAAAGGCGTTTTACACCTTGAAAGCAAAGGAAGATAGAACAGCCTAAATTCCAAAGTGGAACCATATTAAAAGCTTATCATGTCTGCCATTTTGCGGTATCTGTTGGTTAAAAGAGCAGATTTATCCTTTAACGCGTTCCAGTCTCTCTTCGTTCAGACGTGCATGGATATGAATGATTTTTCAGTGTTTTTTTTTTTTTTTTTAGCAAAGTCCTTCTTGGATTTTGGGGGATGATAATTAGACTGGCTAAAAAACAAAAGATGGAGAATGGAATCAAGATTAAGGAGATGCTGGTTCAAATCTGTTGAGGAGGTGGTCGGTTACCCGCTCTTGAATATATACATTTCTAAGCCTTTCTTCTCCTTTGCAGGAGCAACTGTGATCTGGACTATGAGCTTTACAAAGATGATTTGCCATACAGGTGAGTTTAGTGCTTTAATCTCATCTCTTTGCTTTGTGTTTCGACCATAGAGAGGGCAGCTTCCTTAGCTTTTATTGTGTTCTAAATTTCTACACTACTCTATCTTGAATGTAGGCTTTAAAAAGGAACTAGTAAATCAACTAGGGACGCGGTGGCTCAGTGCCTAAGACGCTGAGCTTGTCGATCAGAAAGGTGGGCAGTTCGGCGGTTCGAATCCCTAGCGCCACGTAATGGAGTGAGCTCCCGTTACTTGTCCCAGCTTCTGCCAACCTAGCAATTCGAAAGCATGTTAAAAATGCAAGTAGAAAAATAGGAACCACTTTGGTGGGGAGGTAACAGCATTCCATGCGCCTTCAGCAATTAGTCATGCTGGCCACATGACCACAGAGGCGTCTTCAGACAGCGCTGGCTCTTCAGCTTTGTAATGGAGATGAGCTTGCTGGTCATGTGACTAGCTGACATGGCTTGCTGGCTGGGCGTGGCTTGCTGGTCACATGTCTGGGTAGGTGTGGTTTGGTGGTCATGTGACTGGGTGGGCGTGGCCAGGTAACTGGCAAACCAAATACAAGTGGTCCTCACTTAATGTTCAGTTGTTTAGCAAGTGTTCTAATTTATGACTGGCCTCCCCAGAGCTACTTGACCTGTTTTGGGAGTTTTGATAGCCATGCACACACACACACACACACACACACACACACACACACTCCCTTCTAACCCTGCTGGAGCAGGTCATTGCACTAGAATCGGCAAAGCATCTCTGATTAGATTCTAGTAGTGAATAGAATCTAATCAGAGATGCTTTGCTGATTCTTGTTGATTTGTTTTATTTGCATTTCTTTATTTTATGCTGCTGAATTGCACTGGCATGCGTGTCCCTTCTTGTGCACAGCCCAGAAGTTTTGTGATTCTTTGCAGCAAAAAAATTACTGGCTTTGCTCTACTTTTCAAACGTGCCGCCCCTGCCGTGTTCTAGGTGCTTGCCCTGCAGGTCCATCCCATTGAGCCTGCTGCACCAGAGGGACCTGCCCAAGCAAGTCCGAGCGAAGTGGTGCACCAAGTCAATGGGGTGAGCCTGAGAGAGGGAAAGAGAGAGAGAGAGAGAGAGAAAAGAAAGAGAAAGAGAGAAGGAAGAAAAGTTCTGCCCCCCTAGAGCCAGAAACAACTAGCACGTATGTTAGGAAACCTTTACTTTTACCTTAGTAAATCAACTTCTCCTACCCACCTTTCCTGCAGGATCTATGAATACCAGAAGATCCCTCCTCTTATTGGACACATTCCTATCAAGATCAGAAGAAGCCATCTAGGCGCAGAAAGCAAAACCAGACTGAGCCCACACACAGACTTGAGAAGCAACAGCAATCCCACAACAGGACGTACAAAATGTGAGTGTTTGGCTTTGGAGAGACGCTTCGGTGGCAAGAGGGTCTATTGAGCCATCTTGTAGTATAAGAACCACGTTAGTTTAGGGCAGGGTTTCTCAACCTTGGCAATTTGAATACCTGTGGACTTCTACTTACAGGTTTCTCCAGCCAGAAATTCTGAGAGTTGGAAGTCCACATATCTTTCAAGTTGTCAAGACTTGAGCAGCACTGGTTTCGGGTGGCAAAAATCAGGACTCTGGTAGCATCTTTTCCAACTCATCTGTTTTATTCAAAGGCAAAAGCTTTCATGAGTTATAGCTCATTACATCAGATGCAGAGACTCGGACATCTAGTCCAGGTTAAATATTCCTTTGCGCATCTGTTGTGAAGCAGTCGATTCTGGTTGGCTGAGCAGCTGTGCGGAGCACAGAGCAAAATCTTTAGGATGCTCAGCAGGGCTGGTGACCTGCTTGCAGTTCATCTTTTTTAGGGGGACAAAAAAAATAAATAGGAAATTAGGAAAAAAAAGCATTTGTGGCCAAGTAGAAGTCAGAAGGAGGTCTTCAAATATGGCAGAAACAATGAAGATAGAGAAAGCAGAATTTTTGGTTGCTGTAAGGGAAAAGACAAAACAGGCAACGTAACCTAGAGAAACGAGGGTGGAAATTTAGAAAGTAAATCAGCATTTTATATTGATCTGAAACCATCTAGCTAGCCGGTTCAAATAAAAGCCAGAAAAACCAGGAATAATCTACAAGCTGTTCCTATACAATTCTGCTTCTTTGGAAGGACAGGATTTCTGGGTTTTAAACAAACGACACTCAATGTGCACCGATTTGTGTGTGGCTGGGCTAGCAGATGTGCACAGGGAAACAATTCTCCTGATCTTTATCGCCGTGTCTTTTTGCAGCAGCTGTTTTTCAGATTTCAGTTGTTGGCAAAAAGCTGGGAAATTATCCCGTTCATTAGCACGGATGCAAATGGCTGCCGGCAATAAAAAGCTAGAACGAACTCCTTCCTCAGCCCACGTTTCCCCGGTTCAATTTCTGCAGAGGGTCTTTTTAAAAGGAAGGTAGCTCATTATTCCGTCTCTCTCTCTCTCCCCTCCTCTCCTCCCTGCAGTGCGGGCTGAAGAATTGCACTCCATCAAAGGGGAATTAAGCCAGATCAAAGCACAGGTGGACAATTTGCTGGAAAGCCTCAACAGGATGGATCAACAGCGGGAACACCCCACAGGTGAGGGAGAGAAGGGTCTCTTTAGAACCAAAGGCACCTTGGAGATAGTCTAGTCCAGGGGTGTCCAACCTTGGCAACTTGAAGACTTGTGGACTTCAACTCCCAGAATTCCTCAGCCAGGCTGAGGAATTCTGGGAGTT